CCTAGAATTAATCCATCTTTGTGTTGTAAAAGAGGTGAAATTTTACCTCCACCATTTTTTAGTTTCAAATTCATATAAGTCTCACATGACACAGGAGTCGTCGTAAGGAAATGAAGCCCCCAAAAGTGCTATACCTAATATGGTTCAATGAAGAGGGGCAATTGGGGAAAAATACTTAAATCGTGTGGGGAGGCTAAAGACAGATAAGAATTATTCTGCCCAGGGCTGTGGCACACACCTGTAACCTAGTACTCTTGAAGCCTGGGGCAGAAGAATTCCAAGTTTGAGCCCAGCCTGGGCATCATAGCAACTTAGCCAGACTCTGTCCCAAAACAAAAAAATTTTTTAAAAGAGGATCTGAGGTTGTAGCTCAGTGTGAAGGCCCTGGATTCAGTCTTCAGCAACAGACACACATACACACGCGTGCGCGCACACACACACACACACTTATTTTAATGAGGACTATTTCTACAGAATTCTCTTTGTTATGACTCTTGTCTGAGAATATATCTCTTTTCTCCTGCTATGGGCAGAACATCTTTTACACGTGAGTTTTTCTTATCTCCTGTGTCTGGGAAGAAAAAGAAAGATTAGAATGAGTCTCTTACATTTGTTGTTTTTAAACTCAACAACTCAAAAACACATTGTTTTAAACACTTGAGTTAAAGTGTCTTTAACTTAAAATAATCTGTAAGCCAAAGCAGCATATTATAGGGTGGCTTATCCTGTCATCTTTCAACATCTTTCCATTAAGCAAAAATTTATACTCTCTGACTTTCTCTTTCCTGTACTGCTATCTCTACAAGGGAAACAATTTGCCAGATTTGTTTTATTTTTAAGTAAGGATGAATTTTACTGTTTGGATTTTTTAAAACTTTGGCTTATTCTTTTCTTTGTGTGCTACATTATCTTTTACTTTGGAGTAATTTTTGTCACTGTTGTTTTTTTTTTTCTACTACTTTTTTCGTACAATCTAAAAATTTTTAGTACAATCTAAATTTTAATAAAATCTAAAATTTGTGTGTGCTTTCTTCAGCTTCAAGAGGTGTTATTTAATTTTTTTCTTGATGATTTATTTTACTCTTCATTGATCCTGTGCTTTCCTTCTGGAGCTCCTATTAGATAGATTGTTTCAGAATGTTAATGATGCTGGTTTTCCTCAATAGCTGTTGATCCTGGGTTCAAATGAAGAACTGATTTACAAATGAAGAACTAGGTTGGTGATTATAGGGAAGCGGTGCAGGTTTCACCTACTTTTGGGTGGCTATGTTACCTGAAAGACCTCCCTTTGAATGCAAGATCAGATGTAGGTTCTGTGTAGGTGCATGGGGAATGTCCATGTGAAGCAATTTTGAAGATAAATGGGTGTGGAGCAGGCACGTGGATTATTATCAATCAGAATTCTTCATTATAAGTCACAGAAACTGACCCTGGCTAATTGATGCAGAAAAATAATTTATAGACAGGGTTCTGTGTTGTGCACAAAACTGACCAGAAGGCTGAGAATCAGGCTTGGAAAACCAACAGGAACCGAGAGGGCCATAGCCAAGTGTACCTTGCAGGAGCGGGCTGGTTAGGCTGCTGCTGCAGCCATGGTAAATACCATTCCAGACTCAGGTGGAAGAGCTAGTGTTCCAACTGTGAAATCAGGATGCAGGGCACCTGCCAGGCACTCCAGGATCACATGTGGTGGGCAGAAGAATGGTTCCTAATCCCTGAGGCCCTAGAACATGATCTTTTACATAGCGAAAGGAGCTTTGAAGATGTGAATAGGTTAAGGGATTAGAGATGGAGAGATGACCCTGGGTTATCCGCAGGGACCCACTCTCAGGACTTCTTGAAAACAGAACATTTCCCAGCTGTAGTCAGAGGGAGACCTGACTATGAGAGAAAGATCAGAGCTGCAGCACAGCTGGCTTTGAAGGTGGAAAGAGAGCACCCACATTACAGAATGTAGATGGACAACAGCTGCTGGAAAATGCTCCTCTAGAGCCTCCAAGAAGGAATGCACCTTCTGGACACCTTGATTCGAGCCTGCTTGTGATCTACAGACTAAGACAATAAATCTGTGCTGTTTTGAGCCACTATGTTTGTGGTGATTTGAGCCACTATGTTTGTGGTGATTTGTTCTGGTAGTGATAGAAAACTGACATCTACACACCTGCAGGTTTTCCCTGCCATGATGCAGAAGTTAGAGGGATTCACTCCTGTGGCTGACAGTGCACATGCCCTTCCGTACAGAGCTGCCTGTCCTCTCCTATCACTCCCCCATCATTTGCCTGCCTTGCCCTCTCCCTGCCCTTCTGCCCTCCCCAGCCAAACCCACACTGATGTTTTTCTTCTGCCAGTTTAGGGCCACAGGGAAGCCACAAACTCCGTGCTTTGAAAATAGCTCTTTAATAAATTATCCTGATGGTCGATTCAGAGCCTTCTTCTGTATCACTGTAAATGTAATGTAAATGTCCTCTTGAGTTTGGAACCTCTCTGGTTTGCTCTTATCTTTTTATTATTTTAATCATTTTTAGGTTCATTTTCTGCTGCTAATTTAGGGATGTGTTTGTATGTGTTGTCACTTGTTGATGTTGATTTTTTTGGGGGGGGGTACCGGGGATTGAACTCAGGTCCTTGCACTTGCAAGGCAGGCAGCAGAACCACTGAGCTAAATCCCTGGCCCTGATGTTCATTTTATTTATTTAGTGTCTACAGGATACTTCAAAAATTTTCTTAAAATGTCTTCCTTTCCTGTTTCCCAGTATTGTGTGTTCTTTAAGAGCAAAACTTTCCCCCTTATATTGCAAAAGGGAAAAAAAAAGTTGGGCTGGAAGGGAACATAATCTTTTGTTTTTTGGTACCGGGGATTGAACTCAGGTCCTTGCACTTGTGTAGCAGGCGGCGAAACCACTGAGCTAAATACCGGGCCCAAGGGAATGTAATCCTATCGGAGCCTTTTTTTTTGGTACCAGAGATCGAACTCAGGACCTTGTGCTTGCGAGGCAGGTGCAGTACCTGGCCCCTAGGGAACATAATCTTATAATCTCAAATCACCATCTCGTGCTAATTATTTATTATTTAGACTGGTTGCTCTGTACCTGCAGCTTAGACAGAATCCAAAGGAGTAGAATGTCCTGGAAGAGTGGGTCACGTGGGGAGGGTTCCACAATGGAAGCAAGGCAGACTAGTGGGGGTTAGCACTAGGGGCAGTCCTGGGGGAAGCAGAGGTTGGGAGGATCCAGGTTATCATTGGGGAAGCCCTTAAACAGGAAAAAAGACAGACCTAGGTTCAAATCTTGATTTTGTCCTTTGCTAACTATGCAAACTTGGTGTCTTTGAGCTTTAGTTTCTTCACTTGTATGAGGGTGATAGTGTCAATATTGCCAGATAGCTTATAGTAGATAAGTGCTTAGTATGGATTTGGTATATAACACTATTGGATGTTCCTGAGTGCATTTACATGGATTAATCTTGTTTAATCCTGATTATTAAGCCTGCTACACAGATCAGGAAACTGAGGAATACCAAATTTAAATAAGCTGCTGACAGTTCTAACCATTAATGGCAGAGCAGGAATTTGAACGGAGACAGACTGGCTCTGACATCTCTACATCTAAGCACTGGGCTCTAGATGCCCCCATGGATAAGGCTCCTGGGCTGAGTGCTCTTCAATTTTCTCTGCACTTTTAGAGTAGGGAGCCATATTCATTTTAGGAATTGGGATGGGATTGAGCCAGCAAGAGGGGCTAAATGGTCCCACTAATAGGCAAGCTGGAGCTGGCAGGTCACTACAGTTTATTGTTTATAATCAATGTGCATTTATTGGTTTATTTGCTTTTATGATTTACTTTTATGGAGTTTAACATTTATATAACAGCAAAGTATACAGATCTTAAGTATACAGCTCAATGGTTCTTACATATGTGTGCACCTGTGTAATTGTACCTGAGCCCCCATAACAAAATTAACATTTTGTTCTTCTTGTAAGAGGCTTGAGTCATTTTCCCTTCCTAGTTAAAATTTTAAAGATCAAAGAGAGTATCCTTTCTTTTAAAATTCATTCAGGGATACATCCATTTACCTACAAATGCACCTTGAAACTGTAATGTTAAGTGAAATAAATCAGACACACAATTTTAAAGATTGCATGGTTTCTCTTATAGGAGAAACCCAAAATATAAGCACAAAATAAAGGATAGATAATAGGAAGTAAGGACATCTTTTTCAAATGAGAAAGGGAAAAATAGATGAGCGGTGGGTAGAAGGAAGGGGAGAAGGATTTTTTAAAAAGAGAATCAAAGAAAAATGGAAATAGAGCTTTTTCAAATGGGAAAGGGCTTAAGAGTTGAAGGGATCAGGGAGGGATGAGAGGGGAAGAGGACAAAAAAAGAATTGAGATGTATTATGAACATGTGTCAACCCCCCATGATAAATGTAATCATTATATACTGTAAACATGTACTAATAAAAATACATTAATTAAAAAACTCACTCAGGGAAAATCTGAATGAACCCTTGCTAGCTTTACCATTAATAACACCTGTAACACATGATTACTTTGATTTCTTGTTTGTTTACTTGAGACAGGGTCTTACTGTAATCCAGAGTGACTTTGACCTTGCTATGTAGCCCAGGCTGGCTTCAACCTTGCAACCCTCCTGCCTTGGCATCTCGAGTCCTAGGACTACAAACTCACATAACCATTCCCCAAGATAACAACTGCACTAAGATCTTTATAGTATTGTATTTATTTGTTTTGTTCGTATGTGTTTGCCGCACATGCTATTTACATTCCTTGTATAGCGTTAGCACATGTATGTGGCTTCTTCATTCCCTTTTTATTCCCTTTTCTTCTCTTCCCTTCCCCTTCCCTCCATCTCCTGATCCCTTTTTGATTTCAGAAAAACCTATAGTATCGCTCTACTTCCTATTATCTTTTATTTTGCTCTTTATTTATAATTTGGATTTCTCATGTATGAGAAACATGATATTTAAGCTTTTTAAAACAGGAAATTTGAAGAAGAAGGCTTATCTGGCTCAGACTGGTTGAAACCATGTCTATCTGCAGGAAGAACAGGCAACATTCTGATGTCAGAGGGCAAAACCTGCCTTCAGGTGAGGCTGATATTGCTGTTTTCCTGAACACATGTCCTGTGAAAAGCCATGAGGTTTGTCTGCACGTGTGCAGACCCTGGTTTTCTCCACCCTACAAATATCCCTAGACCCTGAGGTTGGGGGTGTGGATTTTGAGGCCAGGGACTCTCCCCTTGAACATGGCTGCCTTGTAAATTAAAACTCTTGCAAAACTCTTCACTTCTAGGCACCATCTTTGTTTTCCGGGCAGCAGGCTGAGACAAGCCTGTTTGGGTAGCATAATCACCATCCAGGCTGAAATACAGACAGTTTCCACCACCAACACCCCCTCATCCTCTTTCCCAGTCAGTACCTAGCCAAAGATAATTGCTCAAGTAACCTCTATTGCTATACATGACTTTAGTCTGTTTTTAAATTTCATGTAAATGGAACATAATTTGTGTCCTTTCGCATATGGTTTCTTCCACTCATTCTGTTTGTTTCTTATTTTGATGCAGAGGAAGATGCTCAACAGCCCATGGTGTGTAAGCCAATGTCCACACTTTATGAGCAGAGAGCTAAGATGGACCCCGAGGGTGCTGGACACAACAGCAGGAAATAGGGGTGAGGAGGAAAAACCGGACCAGGGAGAGCTGCCTGCTGTCTGGACACTCCTTGAAGGCCCTCGGGACTCCCCAGGCCCCAGGGGAAAGATCCTGGAGCATTACAGGTGTGCAGGGAATGTTAGTTCTTTTCTCTTGCTCTGGTTCTCCAGGAGTCAGATTTTAAGAAGGAACAAGTGGCGAGGTTTGGCCAAGGGTGGCACAGTCCTCGCCCTTTTGCAGCTATGGCAGGGAAAATTCTGAATTGCTCTATACACTGGGGCAGTAGATGTCCTGCCTCCCTGCAGCCAGGGAACCTCATCTCTCGGGGGAGAGGCCTATCTTCACCATCGGAAGCAGTGGCTTCCATTCCCTCACTTTTAGAGATAATCTCAGTTTTGTTTGTTTCTTTGTTTTCTTGTAAGAGCCAAGAACTCTCAAAGGTCCTTCTTGGGCTTTTTCCAGGAGTGCCTTTGAAACACAAAAAAATTCTTAAAATTCTTACACCTGAACACAGAGGGTCCTAAACTGCTAAACAAAAGGCTACATTCCCTTCCAGAGAGGAAAAAAGGGGAATATCGCACGTTCTTTCTATCAATAAATCTCTAATAGGAAGAAGAACAGGCCACAAATAACTACCTTGATTATCTAGCCTGCCCCACTGCCCTGGATTTTGTTTGTTTTGTTTTTCTGGCCCCAGGGATCAAACTTGGGACCTTGCACTTGTGAGACAGGTGGGAGGACCGCTGAGCTAAATCCGCGGCCCTTGCCCTGGATTCTGAATCCTTGCTTCGTGACTACAAGGCTAGGGGAACCTGACTAAATTCTCCGTGGGCTCTCTGGCTCATTTCTTGAACTATAGACTGGAGCTGGTATTCAGCTTACAAGGATATTTTGAATAGTAAATGAAATTAGCTACTTGTGAAGCTTGTACTTAGGATCCTAATAAGTGTATTTCCTCTGTTAATTTCTCCTCTACCGAAGGAATCACCTGCTTTTGTGGAAGTACCAACATCTGCATTGGATGGCCCAGACTGTAGTGGTCTGAGAACAGGCAGTGTGTGGGGCTGGGTAGGGTGAGGTGGAGAGGGGAAGCCGCACTGGCTCACAAAGGCTTTTCTCCCTCTGTTATGGTCTGAGAGGCTCAGAGTGTAACTTCATAGACCCCAGAGACACTTCTGTGCTCTCAACAGTGGTGCTCAAACCTGACTGATCATTAGAATTATCTGAAGAATTAAAAGAAATTCTCCAGACCTTATATATAGCCCCTTCTCCCACCCTGGCTAAGAATGTGATTCAGCAGAACTGGAAGAGATACAAAAGCTTATTAAAATAAGACTCCCAGGTGATTCTGATGGGCAGTAAGCTATAAAATATTTTCCTGCCCCAAAGCCTAATATTTAAAAGTACCTAGGAGGGTGAGTCGGTCCCAGCACCCGGAAGGAAGCTCCCCCACCGCCATCCCAGGCTCCTAGGGCAGTGAAGCTCAGCCAGTCCCAGCACCCGGAAGGAAGCTGGGACAGAGGCGTCAGGGCCCTGAGCAGCGGACCAAGGCAGTATGTCCAGAGTGCGGCCTCAGAAGATTCGCCTGAGTCGGTGCTCACTTTCTGTGCCGGGTATTGGGAGTGTGGGCTCGCTGTCTCCCCCAAGGCTGTGTGAGCTGCTTCTGGGGTTGCTGGGCAGCCAGTGCCCAGCAAGCTCCCCATGTGTTTGCACCCGGCCATGCACTGAGCAAAGGGCTCCGACATTTCGCATCGCTGTTGTCCCAAGCTTGGCCACAGAGATCCCAGCAGATGCGCTTGGCTTCCGAGGTTGCCGCTTGGTTCCCTGGGCTCGCCTCACCTGTCGCACCCCGGCTGGCAGCTGGAGGGCCGCGTGGCCCTGAAGAGTTTTGCTTCACTTCCCTCTGTTTTGGATTTGCCGTCAGGGCCTCATTTCCTCTTATTGCTTATAATTCGCTGTGTTATTTCATCAGTGCATAGTGGTTACACTCATGGTGAGGTCGGTACATTTAAAGCGTGGAATGCAAATCAGGCCCCACCTGGGGCTTTGTGGGGAAATCTGTAAACTGTGGATTGCTCTCAAAGTCACTTCTATGGAGCACACAGTCCCTGTACCCTGGCATTGCCAGCTCAAGGCCCGGCTCTGTCTGGATGATCCTTTCTTTGTGGCCGGTGCAGTTGGCCGTGGGGCACAGTGTGAGGGCCCAGCAGCATCTGGCCAGGATGGGGTGCGTGTGTGCGGTCAGGGAGGGATTCCAGGACAGTCTGGTGCAGTCAGGAGCCGCAGCTGTTGGTGGACACCGGAAAGATGGTTCCTGCAGCTTGGCAGGCGCAGCTCCGGCGTGGGGCTGTGTGCAGCTTGCAGCCTGGTGCAGGATTTGGGGCCCCAGGAGTGAGGTCACCCAGGGACAGACTTACCCTGCTCTCTGCCCAGCTCACTGTGTGGAGAGGAGGAAAGCACTCGGGGACTGCGGACACCAGGGCAGTGTGGGAGGGAGGTCAGGTCTCAGCCTGTGGTCACCCGCTCAGAATGACGTCACTCACCTGGCACGAGGCAGCGACTCACTGGCCTCTCAGGGAGCAGCACCCCTTCTGGTGGAGCCCATAGCCCGAGCCAGAGATGCTGAGCTGAACCAACCATTAATGGTGGACACCCAGCCATCGGGATCCATTCGTTTTTCAGAGCCGCTCAGTGAAGCCAGGTGAGGTGGTGCAGCTCTGCTACCCAGCACTCTGGGAGGCCCAGGCTGGGTGACAGCATCTTAGTGAGAAGACTCTGACAATCACAATCACACATTAAATGGGCTGCTGATGTGGCTTAGTGAGAAGGTCCTGAATTTAATCCCCAGTACTGAAAATAAGTTTTACTGATTTGTAAAGACCTCAGTCCACGGGCAGGGCTGGACCATACATCCCCAGGAACCTCCAGCCTCTGCTGTCCAGGATGCTCTGTGGTTTCATATTTTAAAAGTAAAATTTAATAGAGATGGAGAGAATGTTCGTCCATCTCCAAGTAGGCAGGCTGGGGCTGTGCTGTCCTGTCCCTCTGTCCTCTGAGCGGAGACAGACAGCAGCCAGAGCAAACTGTCCCCAGGTGAGCCCAAAGGCCTGTGGAGCTGATGTCCGGGAGGTCACCTGGAGCTCAGCCAGGATGGCATGCTCTGCCCTGCGAACTCCGCAGAAGGAGCCCATTGATGGCCCTGCTCCTGTGACTATGACCGAGTCTCCGCTGCCAGGCTTCCACCCTAAAAAGCAGCATTGATGACACAGACACTGGGGACCCTGGAACCAGGAGGGCAGAGGCTGCTGAGCCAACCGTGTCACTGGGGCCCTGAATGTGTGGGGTTGAGCTTGACAGGCCAGGTCCCCACGCCCATAATGAGATGGTAGGAGAGCTGAGGCCTGGCACACCCCCTCCCAGCAGGGAAGACACAGCCCGAACCCCGAGATGCAGACAGGGATGGGGCACCTAGGGGAGGCCACGGCCCAGTGGGTTTCCTGCAACGGTGCCCTTCGCCTGTCCTTCATTCAGACTGCACATGTTATCTTACTGTGATAAATACATCCTGTCTGGCAACACAACCTGGATTACCTACTGAAGAAGCCAATGAAAAATGGCCGGGATCTTTCTAGGGTTTCCCCTTCTGCATAGCGCAAGATTCATCAGCCCCTCCCACGACTGAGTGGCCAAAGGCAAGTCCGACAGCACTGGTGTGAACCCTGCAGGCCAGGTGCCCGTGGGGACATGAGAGGAGCAGTGGCCAGGGGCATGGGTGGGAGCCACCAAGCACAGTGCTCTGGGGATGGGTGCACACAGGGCGAAGGCACTTGAGGCTGCCACGCTGACCCTTTTAAACACTGAAATTTTAAGTTTTATTAAAAGCTAGTTCTATTATTTACATAAATCCAAGAAATAAGGGCAAGTGTAAATACCAAAACAAGAGGCAGCATAAGTGAGGGCAACAGTGGGAGGGGGCCAGGAGCTGGCCCCAGGTGGAGCTCAGGAGGTGACACCGACCGCCGTGCAACCACCGGGTGCCCCAGCACTGCAGCAGGTGAAGGGGCTGCCTTGGACTCTGGCTGTGGTCCCAGCGCTGGGCAGGAAGCTGCAGGTGGAGCTGGCTTGGGCTCCGCACGTGGGACTTCAGCTGGGGCTGGAGCTGGTCCTGTAGTTCCAAGAGAAGAAAAAGTCACCAACTGTCCATGTTCCCTCCCAGGGCAAAACCTCCCCACTGCCCATCAGACAGCTCTG